GCGCTTTGGCGACAGTGGGAAGGAAAAACTCCCTTTTAACAGGAAGAAACCTCCAGCACAACCAGGCTCAGGGAGGGGCGGGGCCATCTGCTGCGACCGGTTGGGGTGAGAGAAGGAAGACAGGATAAAAGACAAGCAGTGGAAGAGAGACAGAGATTAATAATAACTTACAATTAAATGCAGAGAGGTGTATAAACACATAGTGAGTGAGAAAGGTGACTGAAGAAGAAACACTCAATCCATCATGGGAATCCCACGGCAGCCTACGTCTATAGCAGCATAACTAAGGAAGGATTCAGGGTCACCTGGTCCAGCCCTAACTTTATGCTTATAGTGTCTGTCTCCTGAATCCAAACTGGAAGCTGGTTCCACAGAAGAGGGGCCTGAAAACTGAAGGCTCTGCCTCTTGTTCTACTTTTAAATACTCTAGGAACAACAAGTAGGCCTGCAGAGCGAGAGCGAAGTTTTCTACACTAAACTCTCACAGTCTGCTGTGTGTTACGTGAGTTGAAATAAAGATAATTTAAACAAACAGCTATAGACAAAACAACAGATAAGTGACGTTCCAGGGAATTCAAGGTCTGTGGTGCTGTAGAGGAAAGTGTTTCGTGTCGACTTGTTGTCAGCAGCAGCGATGCAAAGAGGATCGCTGCTAGAACGACACAATCCTCCAAGTTGCGAACAGACGCCTATATGAATAAAGACACGTGTGCCACACATAGACAAGCGAGTGTTTACCAGAGCGTGAGAGGTGATGACAGTCGGGGTGAGCGTGTTGGTCGCTGATCCAGGAGCCAATAAACTGTTAACTGCTGCATTCACCTGCAGAAGGAACAGGAAGCAACAGCACACGTTTACCTCTAAACACAGCACGATCATTCACTCATACACTTGCACATATACACAATATATATAAATCCCTATAATCCCATAGTTTGGAGAAAATAAATAAAAATGTTAAAAGCTCTGATGTGTTTCTGGATTTTTATTTAATCTTGTGACTGCCAAGGCTCACACGGGGTTAGAGTTCAGGGTGAAAGCGCCTACACGCTGTGAGATTTCAGCAAACCCAACAGTCGATTAGAAGTGTGTCACAGAGCTAACAAACAGACTGCAGAATGATTAAACTTATGAATCATGGACTGTGGAGAAGATTTTTGTTTACGTGTCACATTCATCTTGGTGGGCTCATGATAAGGACTCGAGGACGCAGCACACAAAATATCTTCAGGGTTTTACTGGATAAAAACATTTTTGGCAACCCGAAAACTTACACAGCTTTACTACAATATTCAAGACTTTAGAGCTCTTTAAAACGATCACCGAGGACCAAACTCTCTACTTAAATTATTTGTTTGTTAAACAACACGTTCTGGGCGTAGCAGGCCTGCTTTGTGTGGGCGTGTCCTATCGCTCCCTGACTCCTTTCCTCCTGCAGAGTCAGCGCACAGACTCCACACAGCAAACGACACTCGAGTCCAAAAGCTGTGAAGAAGAGTCGGTCAGTGCCAGTGGGCAGGCTGGCAGTGTCGTTTCCTGCTGTGTGGAAAGGAGTGCATGTTCCGACTGTTTCATACTTTGTTAACAGCATCGACATCTTTCTGCTGATGTCGCTTTGCTTTTGATAGAAATAACTGCCCAGCTGTGTCCCTATTTAAGACCCTTTTAATAAAACCTAAATCAATAAAAGATATTTAAACCGATTATTTATGCAGAAGTGGAAATATCTGGGTTTTTACAGACTTAAAATGAGCCTCTGTGGGGGTGGCCACGGACTTCTGCATGACTGGCAATTAATTTTTGTTACTGTCTTAACAGTAGTCTCTGCATATTCCTGTTATTTGTTGTCATTTGTAGTCGATCCACTGCCACTTTAAAAATATGTATTACAATGTGTACAATAAAATATATATGGACTTTTACTCTTTGTTAGCAGGATATATGTTATAAATTTGTGGTTACACCTAATCTTGTTGTATGCTGAAGTTGTCTTATAGTCATTTACATTTGCAGTATGTGCTGCTGATGTTTAAAGAAAAGAAAACGAACACATCCAGAGCGGCTAAAAGCTTTAAGAGAAAAAGCTAAAAGCTTTTCGTCCTGGACGTTTTATTTAAGTGCTGTGAGACTCACATCACAGACTCAAAGGATTCTGAAAACTTCAATTTATCTGATAAATGTCTAACGTTCAAGTTGTTACATAGCACACATAGTGATGTTTCTCCATTTCACAACCAAAACCTGCATTTTTCCAGTGTTAAAACATGACTATATGAGAAAATGTCTTTGAGGGATTCACAGCTAGATGATGAGCCTGGTATCAAAGCAGAGGTGAAAAGGTGACTGTAACTGTTTTGACCAGTCACTTATCCCGCCGGTTGCTATGACATTTGATTTTATGTCATAGAAACCCATAGCAGCCATAGTTTACCGACCTCAGACTTTGTCTTCCTGACTTTCTGTTTTAAATATTTTTTTAATGTTTGTAAAGCACATCTGAACTTTTACATGTGATGTTTAGTAAAGTGACCAGCAGTGTTGCGGACCTTATCGAGGGAGAGGCCGGGGGGCAGGGAGGGAGAGGAGGGCAGCTCCAGGCCTCGTGGCTTCTTTTGTTTCGGAGGAACGGCGTCCGAGGATGAAGCCGCTGGAGAGGTCACCGGCGAGGACGTCGTCACCGGGGGGATGACTGGATCTGAAGGAAACAAATCGCAGGAATGAAATCTAATGAATTATGGGAATAGACATAAAAAGAGGAGGCGGTCTCGGTGGGCTCCACCCAGAGAGGGAAGAAAAACCCTTTCCTCAATCAGGGAGATCATCTAAAATGCTTTCCTGTCACCTGTTAGCGTGTCCTGGCCCTCACCCTCTGTCCTCCCCTCCTCTGCTGGCTGCTGAACTCCAACCCCGGCATCAATGCAGGGCGGGGGCGGGCTTTCCACAATGGTGGGGGGAGGCTCTGGCTCTCCCGAGTCACAGATCAGCTGAGGAACCTGGATGGAAGAGCACAGGGCACCACCTTAGCACCATGTTTCTGTTAAACCTTTATTAAAAACCCAGAATTTCCTCCTCCTCTTACCTCCTCCACCTGTTTCCCATCCAGTGTCACCATCTCCAGCAGCTCCTGCTCTGACGGCAGATTCTCCTCCTTGATGACGATGGGTGGAGGACGGGCGGTGGGAGGAAGAGCGACAGAGGGAGGAGGAGCAGCAGTCGTCATCGGCACCTGTTGCTGCTGCTGATTGGGAGGTGGGTTGATAATAACGAACACAGGGGCAGGGTGAGACTGATGAGGAGCAGCATGCGGGTGGTGAGAGGGGAAGTTGGTGGGGTTGGTAAGGCCCCCACAATCCTCCTGCTGTGGGCCCTGTGTTCCCATTGAGACATGAGGAGGGGGGACAGGGCTCACCGTGCCCCCTCCGAGAGTGATGAGGGCGGACGGGTCCCCCATGTTGGTGAGATAAATCTGGGGAGGGTCGCTCAGCGGAGCAGCAGGAGGATTCTGGGAATGTCAACCAGAGGTGAGAACATTAATAAAGGGGATGTTATTTTCCATCATATTTATAACGTTCCAGTGGTGGATGTTCATACTGAATACTGACAAAGGTCCAAATAATGACTTCAGCAGACGTACAAGTAACCCCTGTGAGTCAAAAACAGGCTTCGTTTAAAGTAGTTTTTTCTACTCTTGGATCTGTACGATGTCACTGAGAGCAGAGATATCTCATAAAGTCATCTAACGCTGGGCACACTGTGTGATTTTTGGCTCATTTTGAGCCGTTTTTTTAGTCGTGCGACCGTTTTGGTGATCGGCCCGAGTTTCGCCTTCATCGTGTATCGAGTAGTATACGTGAGGTAACGAGAAGCGATAAACACCTCACGACCAGCTCCCGATCATCAATCGTTTGGTCGTAAGAAAATCAAACCCGTTTGAAACCCTGTCGGCCGTCCTGAGGGCGTCACCGCAGCCTCTCACACTGCGCACACGCAAACACAGAAATGAAAGTGAAAAGACGGAGCAGCACGACCCTCCGCAGCGTGTGATCTGGACACAAGCGATGGAGGCACAACTTGTAGGATGAGGCAAGCTCATCTGAGCCTTTTCGATGTGGCCTCACAAAATTATCACGACTACAACAACCATGAAAGTTGGATTTACATGCTGCTCAATCAGCTGCCAATCACGTTTTTCATTAGAAATTTAGCAAAGTTGGTGTGTGTGTGTGTGTGTGTGTGTGTGTGTGTGTGTGTGTGTGTGTGAGAAAGACAGAGAGGGAGAGAGCGAGCGACAGATTTTCTGTTATAACCTTCATGTTATGGATGCACAGCGTGAGCATCGGGCCGTATAGTGTGAGACCCTGCGTCGTGACCTACGAACTTCTAACCCCTGCGAGTCAATCGTGCAGTTTGAGCAGAAGCTGGATAACGCAAGTGAAAAAAAAAAGTCGCACAGTGTCTGTCCAGCTTTAGGTGTTCTCGGACAAGTAACCAAGTACCAGGCGTGACTTTTTACTGACCTGTGATTGGCCATTGGAGTTGGCTGGTATCTGTGGGCTGAGAGCCGGGGTCGGACAGGGAGACGTCTGAGTGACGATCACCTGGAGAACAGAGTCCGCAGCGCTCCCCACGGACGGAGAGGATTTAGACTCCGGTAACACACACACCTGAGGAGGAGGACACGCCAAAAAAGGCCTGGAGTTAGAGCAGCTGATTGCCACAAATA